GTGCCCGTGGGCGGGGGGCGGGGGTGGGCTGCCGGGTGCCTGGTCCTGCAGGGAGGAGTCGTGGGGCTCGTGTGCATCGGACCCCAAAATGCCGACCTCCCTGCACGGTAATCTTTGGGTGAGAAAACCAGAACGGCTTCGTTCTGACCGTAGGAGGGCTACAGCCTGCGCCGCTGTGAGCGCGGTGGTCCCACGGCTGAACCAGGACGGCTACAGAAGGCGCTCGCCGGGCTCTGTCAACTCGGCGAGTGACTTGTGCCGGGGATTTGGTACGATACGGGAAGGACTAACTGCGACGGGAAGTACAAACGTCGCATTGCAAGGACTTCCCCGCCATCCCCGTATGCTTCCATCAATATCCCCATTAAAGAAATGCTGGTTTGCTGTACGGACATCGCTTTCTGAGAGTCATTTCAGATTAGGGCTACGACTTTAACGTGATTTAGTACGTCGTAACTCAAAATTCTCACTGATGGCTTTAAGAGTAGGTGAGCTCAGTTTCGAGTGGACATAATCCAATTTTTGCTTAGGAGCTGCTTGTTGAATCCACTCAGCGTGGCTGTTCTGGTGGGCTGTAAGTGAGGAGAGGATGTTTTTAGATGCAGTGGGCTCCGGGCCGTTACGCGGCGCAGGTGCGATACGCTCCTGGTGGTGTTTAGTCAGCGTTGTCTCACCTCCAGGTATTCAGTAATCCGAGCCAAAATGAAACGCTGCTTCAAAGTAAAACACGGCAGTGACAGATGCACCGGCTATTATATTTAGTTTCTTGTCTGAGAGGGCCAGATTGAATGCGCGTCGCTGGCTGCGCGTAGTGGATGGGGACCAGGTACGATGAAAGGGAGATTACTGGCTATTTTAAGAGTCAAACTTAAAAAGCAGGAAATTGAAAACTGATAAACAGGGGGGTTTTTAGGCGATGTCCAATTAGACGGTGGCACTCATTACCACAGGAGGCCACTGAAGCCAAGTGCTTAGCAAGAGTGGAAGAGGGACCGGGCACTTTTATGGATATCAAGAATATGCAGAGTAATGATTAACTGTATCAATTTTTGTAATGTAATTAGAATAATTTTTCATGCTTCAGGGCTTAAACCAATTTCTAGATATGAGAGACCAGGATGAGACTTATGGTAGGAACAGATTAAAGCCATCTGCATACTGCAGAGCTCCTGCCTTTTCTTCTGACACATCCGCTGCCGTTCCAAGACAAGATCCTGGGCTAGGATGGTCCCTGGGCCTGCCTTGATCAACCGTGTCATTCCTTATGTTGCCTTAGGAAATCTGGGGTGGAATATGCAGCCTCATTGCTTACGTAAACCAGGGTGTGAGGAAAAGGAGGATGAAGGAGAGAGAAAACGGGTTTTCTGTAATTTTGAGCAGACAAACGCGTTGGGCGTAACTGCCGATTTGCCCAAATGAAAAAAATAGAGAAGAGAGGAAGCTTTCAAAATCATGACGTAGCATCCCGCAAAACAACGAGATTTATTAGAAAGGATCGCTTAGGTCTGCACCCTTTCTGAATCCTGAGCACTTAAGGCAAACTTGAGTCACGCTTGCAAACTCTTCGCTACCACCACTAGAGTCAAATTTTTTAATAACAAATAAATGCAGCTAAGATTCTCAACTAGGAGCTTGAGGTGGGCAAGAGGTAAATAAACGCTGCGGAGCTTACGCTTTGACTGCGCACGTTCGGGTGTAAGAGGGGGGTGGAGGTGGTGTCACCGAGGAATAGCCGAGGAGGAGGAGATGATCACTTCGGCTGTGCAGCAGGTGAACCGACACAAGGAGTTCAGGGGCCTGGGGGCATCGAGGGGTGGGAAAGGGGCACGGGCTGGGCTGCAGCTCGACTGGCAGAGGTTGGAAAAGGAGCGGGTGTCTGTCCCCGGGGCTGCGGGGAGCCAGCAGCCAGGTCACCACCATCTGTGACACCCCCCCCAGCACGCCTGTGCCCCATCCCACGTGTGAACTTCCCACGCTCGGGATGAGGGTGGCGGGCGAGCGCGGGGTTGCCAGGGAAGCACGGCTGTGCTTTCGTCCCGTGAGGACCAGAAACGATAAACGGCAAGGCCTGGGTGAGGGCACAAGCTGGAGCACGATACCACATTACAACAAAATGATCTCTTACAATGTTTTCAGCCCATGGAAAAACTAAATTTTGATCCCAAGCCCAAAAATTGTAATTTCTAGTGGAGAACTCCAGCTGCTTTTACTGTTGTTTATGCTTGTTATTTCCTGGCCCTACTGCAAAATCCTCCGACCTGCTACGTCTGCCCAGTTCTGCTGCCGCTCTCCAAACGGCCCCTTTCACCAAGGAACATGCACACGCCTTCGCTGGTCCTGGGGGTATTGAACAGCACCAGTTGGGAGACCTCGGCTGTGGTAACTTCTGCCAAATACAGGTCGATGCAGAGAACCGACGTACAAAGGGAAAAAAAAAAAAAGCTGAAAAATATTGTAAGGACACAATTTTAAAAATACAGAGATTTAAAGGTGTTAAAATGCCTTAATAATGGTTGGAAGATGTGTCACTAACCCCTAGCCAGCTCCACCTCGGTTAAGACCTGACCAGCGCAGCCACTCGCTTGTGTCTGCAGCATTTCAGCGCGGTGACATAAAACGGGACCAGGCCAAACCAGATACAAACCATCAGGTTTTACTGAGGTTTTTTACTGTTACAGAGCAGTTGTGCTGCTCTGACTTCACTGAAATATAACGTGCTGGAAATGAAGCAATCACTGTAGCTGTCTGTTAGAGCAACGCTCCAGAGCTGTAGCTGGACGGGGCAGCCCGAGCAGCGAGCGCTGCCGGTCCAGTGCGTGCTGGGGGCCAAATGGTGGACAGCAGGGGTATACTTGATCTGGCGTTTGTGGAGAAGGAATTAAAGCCTGTCTCCAAAAAAAAGACCTTGGTCTGGCAGGAACTAGGTGCCAGAGATGTATTTTTCGTTACTCTTGAATTGGGAGTGTGACAGGGCAGGGGTTTGCTGGCCAGCGGGGAGCAGCAACAGGTGACGCCTCCCTGGATATCGCCGTTTTGGGATGAAGGGAGCAAACCCAGGGTGCTCCAGCATCCTCGAGATCTCGGTGTGCCGAACAAAAACGGGTCTGGAGTTCTTAAAATAGACCGTCAGCTGCATTACTTGGGTTTTGGGAGTATGGGGTTACATCCTGACTCCTCCTCCTCCTCCTCCTCCTCCTCGCTGGCTCCGCGGGTACCCACCTTAGCGGGAGGAGGATCTCTTTTCTGTGTCACAATCCGGATTACCGGGTTTGATGCCACAGGCTTGCTAGGAGGCTCCCGCACCCGGGCGGCTGGCTCCGCCGCGGCGCTCC